TAGAGGTAGGCTCTCGGGAAAAAGAAACGTTCGCTGATTCATGTACCAATTTATTGGATGTATACGATGTAATATAATACAATATTTGTAGATTAATATAATCATATATTTAATGAATCTTAAGTTAACTAGGTGAACCAATAAGCATAGTTGATAATTAAGAAAAAAAATAAAAGGGTTGAGACGTGAGTTTCGAACTCGAGACTCTCGGACATTAATCCAGCACCAAGCACGTGGGCTATCGAGTCATTGTGGTATATTGTTTAGCAAACTTATATTTCTGTAGTTACCCACGTTCGAGAGTTTTTTTAAGTTTTATTTGCTTACTTTATTATTTCCAGAGCTTCATATGGGTATTAAGGGTATTGACTACTTTATTACTACGGTTTATGTAATATCCTGTAAAAAAAAAGGTGGATACAAGTCTCCCTATTTGAGTGTTCACCCGTTTTAAAATCGCGGATCTCGAGGAACACACGAATTCATTCGACCAATCAAAAACGTGGAACTAGTTCGAGAGTCTTGTTCAGGTGGCGCGTCGACGCGCCAAACACAGCTCCAGATTATCACGCGTAGTATTACTATATATACACGACCAATCAAAAACGTGGAACTGCTTCGAGGGCCCTCCGCTAAGATGGCGCGCCGAAACCAAAGAAAAATTGCCTTCACCAGAAACAGGCTCATTGGCAATCTCCCTACTCATCTCTGGTATGTATATCTTTTCGCCCGGTACTCTCTCCACCATCGGCGGTTTCACTAGCGGAGTCAGCGCCGCATGTGTCGTTTCGGGCAACCTCAATTTAACAGCTTTTCGGTATCATACCTTATGTACAGAGATGGGACTCCTCTACTCTAGTCTCCATGGCGACTCCGATGGAAACATAACCAATGAATTAACAAGAGATGCTTTTACTGGTTTGCTTATTGGTTGAATGTAGTTGAATGTGATGAAAATGTAACGTAAAACAGTCTAAATAAATTTATAAAATTGTGCAAATGAGCAAATTTTATGTTATTATATAAATTAAATTAAATTCAATGACAATGAAGATATTATTTGCGCCAAACTGTATATAATTTCAAATGATCTTGATCGAGTAAATCTACTACGTCTACCGTACATACAATGTTCAACACTATTTAATTCTGTTTTTATTTTAAAAATTAACATTTTTGCAAATGCAATATGTATTTGATAGAAAATGAAATTATCACAGCGTGAATTCCAGAATTTTATTGTGAGTAGCTCCCTTCTATTCAAACTAATACTGTTTAAGCTTATGTTTAAGAACTTGTTCTTTAATATCTCTTTTTACAGTGTTGTATAATAAACTTCATCTTTGTATTTAGATATCACCAATGACAATCCAATTATTCTGTTGGCATGCTCTTTAAGTGGTGATAAATCTAACCTCATAATGATTGGGGGTTCATTTGATACAGGCTCCTCTTATCATCAGATTGGGAGTAGACGAGAAGTTTGTAATTGGATTGGACATATTAAACTGTCTCGAATTATTGTTTTGGTTTCTGTAATACTTTTTATAGTACCATTATTTACACATTACTATTTATCAAAGGTATGCCACATTTGTATAATAGTGTACATGCATTTTATATTCCATACGTTTCATTGTGTTTTTATTTTAGGTTGAGAGTGATTCTCCAAATTTAGACATTCACCATACTCGTTCAAAATTAGAGGCTTTTGAGGATTTTACATCCATGAAAGCAGCAGATCTTAAATCACGAATAGAAGAAATGCTACGAATCAAAGTTTCAGTAAGCAATGAATTGAGAGATCTGGAAGCAAAGCGGCAAAGACTTCAAGTTGAAGTTACTAGTTTTACACAACGAATTGATGAACTGAAGCAGGAATTACTTCATCAACAGATGGACTTGGATAGATTAAAAATTAGTGTAGTGCAAGCTCAAGTTGCACAAAGAGAAGCTGTAGAAAGAAACACTCCAGAGTTAGCACCTCCTAGGCGAATTCTTGTCAATTCAGTTCCAGCAATACTCCCAAGCCCCAATTCAAGTTCATGCAAGATGTATAATTGTTTCGATCATAGTCGTTGTGCCCTCACAAGTGGTTTTCCAGTTTATCTTTACGATCCAGATTTATATTCTATAGTGAGTCCAGGATGGGATGTTGATGGGTTTCTTAAAACTACTATCAAACAAACTTTGGGTAAGTCAAATTGAATTTTTGTTGGTCATTCACTTATTTATCATTTATTCTCATAATTGGGATGACATCCCAGCACATAGATGATGTATTATTACTTTATTTTTCAGGTTACAACTCTCACCTAACTACAAATTCGGCAGAGGCTTGCGTTTATGTAGTTTTAGTAGGAGAAGCTCTTTCGATGGAGGTCTCAAAGAGATTTAAGTTTCGCAAACCAATAGATGTCAAGAAACTACACAGTCTTCCTTACTGGGGTGGAGATGGAAGAAATCATATTTTGTTGAATCTCGCCCGTAGAGATTTATCTATTGAATCTGGAAGTATTTTGGATGGCATTGACACTGGCAGAGCAATGATCGTGCAGTCAACATTTCACAGAACTCAATTTCGAGAAGGTTTTGACTTAATTGTACCTCCGATACTGGGTCCTCCTGGTGGTGACATTTGGCAAGATTGTACACAAATGTTACCTGCAAGAAGACGGTATTTACTGTCATTTCAAGGTGAGATGAAACCTTCCAAGACAGCGACGACAACTCATCAGGTCGATGATGCTGAAGTAGATTTGGAAAGGTTAGCAGTGGATGACAACAATCTGGATAGTTTTATTATTCAACATTTGAAGGACTTGAGCATTAGCACCACTCTCGATAAGTTTTTCATTCAGTTTGAATGTATCCCAGCTTCAGAAGATACAAAGGTGTTTGAAGCCCTCGATTGGTCCCTCTGTGGAACTGATTCCTCCAGGAAGGCTATACTTAAGGATTCTACGTTTGCCTTAATCTTAGCACCAAGTAATACCAGTTTTGTTACGACTTCGCCAATGCAGGCACGGTTGTATGAAGCATTGAGAGCTGGTGCAATACCAGTTGTTCTAGGTGGGGATCAAATTTATCTAAGTTATGATGAAGTGATTGCTTGGCGAAGAGCAGCTATTTTTCTTCCTAGGGTACTGTCATAATTATTTACAAAGCTTACCTTTATTTTTATCAAAGATAATCCTGGAAAATAAATTCTTTTGTTAATACTTCAGGCTCGAGTAACAGAAATGCATTTTTTGCTTCGTGCTGTGCCGGATAATGACCTTTTATCGATGCGGAGACAAGGTAGATTGATATGGGAACGATATTTGGGTACAGCTCAAGGTGCTATTGATACTATTGTCGCTAATATCAGAGATAGACTTGGCATACCTCCACTACCAGCACCTAGAGCGCCCAGTCCAAGTGTATTCAATGAGAGTTTTGTGGTAAGTGAATGTAATTTAAATGAAGAAACTTGCATATATTTGTGATGATGTTCAATAAGAAAAATCATAATTATGTGACTTGGATGTAATACTTTTACATTTTTGCATACTAACTTATTAACTAAATTGCACTAATTAGTTGTTTTCATAATTTGGGCATTTTCGTTGATACTAATAGACAGAAATATCGTACAACATTATGTAACGATATTCTAATGAAAGAAATTTGCAATGTCACACTCTTCATTTTTTTTATTTTATTAAAATATTGGTACTCCTCCATTCGTCGTGCGAATATTATTAGAGAATATTATTTGTCAAAAGTTAAATAGTTTTTCACCTTTCAAATAATCATGTATGTTGCTGTAACGTCTTTCACTTAATTTATTATACTATTTTAAGCATGCTTTCATTTAAGATTTTTAACATCGTTAAGGGAAGTTTCGCAACTTCTGTATCATACCAGAATTATTTATCTATGTCATTCTCTATTTTTCTGTACTTTTGTTTTTATCGCACTGCGTAAATGTACTGTATTTCTATGCGATAAAATGAATTGAGTATAAGCCGTCCCATCGTTCAATCTAGTAGATCTAGGACTATTAATATCTATTTTCAATATCTTCCTATGTTTACTCATTGCATTGAGTTTCCATTAATATTTTTGTCATATCCAAGCCTCAATAGAGCACTATTTAAAGATTTGAAATATAGATTCCTTTTACAGCCTTTAAAGTCTGATACCATTATTGCGGAACCTGAAGCTGAAGAAAGCTTGGGTCCCCTCGAACCACCATACTCTTCTCCAGCTTTTAGAAGAAATTATACAACTATGTTAATCCATGGTCATGAAATTTGGAACGATTGGGTTGATCCATTCAACTTGTATCCGCAATTACCATTTGACACTATCTTACCCAGTGATGCTAAATTTCTCGGTAATGCTGTAATGAATATCAATAAATATTATTTGAACTACATATAATTTATTTGTTACACGAATTAGAATTGATTCAAAATAAACATTTTATTATGAATTGCAGGATCAGAGGTTGGATTTCGACCAATTGCAAAAGGAGCTGGAGGTGCTGGTAAAGAATTTAGCGAATCATTGGGGGGAAATCATCCCAGAGAGCAATTTACCATAGTAATGTTGACTTATGAACGTGAGCAGGTTCTCATAAATTCATTAGCTCGACTCTATGGATTGCCATATTTGAATAAGGTTTTGGTCGTTTGGAACAGTCCAAAACCACCGATGGAAGATCTACGTTGGCCAGATATTGGAGTTCCTATACATGTGCGTATACACTATCCTCTTAGTGCGTTAGTGCTAAAATTCAATAAAACTGTCTTGCGCCACACATGACAGAAAATACTTTTTTTGACGGTTTTTCTTCCTGGCCATCTTACTTTTACTAGAGATTCTATAATCTGATTCTTTTTCTAGGAATATTGTAGTTTTATAATTTTGTTTTGTATATTGCAGGTCGTAAAAGCTCCTAGGAATAGTTTGAATAATAGGTTTCTACCTTTTGATGCAATTGAGACAGAAGCTGTTTTGTCTGTGGATGATGATGCTCACTTACGGCATGATGAAATTATGTTTGGTTTTAGGTAAGCTTGTTAACAGTAACATACATTAAAGAATGTTTTCATTCCTAATAGATGAAATATTGCAAGTTTTTGAGTAATGCTGTCAAATTAAAAAATAATATATCTGACATTTAATTTATTTTATTTGATATGAGATGAATTAAAATTTTAAATAATCAGTAATATTCATGCTTCGTGAGTTTAGTTAATTTCTAGTCTTCTTAGATATTTTTATAATTCTGAATTTTACAGTCTTGCCATAATTTGGTTATTATTCTGGAAACAAAGTATTCAAATTACTTAAGATAATAAGTGATTCAAATACATACACATTTTAATGTAAAACGAGAAATCTGCTAGTAATACAAAATAACAAAATAAGTAATGAGTTTTTTCTCAATTTGCATTATAAACATTTGATTTCATGACGTATATTCTTCATTAGCTTATTTAATTAATAATTAACAGAGCTTGCACTTCAATTATTGTAGTACGTTAACTTAGTTTAATTCATGTTTGCACTCATTTCTGCTATTGTCACCTATTACCAGACGATTTCACAGTTTCTCAGAACACGTCGGTTTAAATATGAACATGCTATTTAACTTCTATGGAAATTGTGGAAAATAAAAAATCTACTGTTAATTTGAATTGAATGTTTCGAAAATTGACGAAATAGTATTGTATGAGTAGCATCATAACAAATAGAACCCAATCGTGGAACTGTTTAGCCAACTCTATGACTATCTATCTGACTTGCTTGCATTAATAACTGGTAACATATTACAGAGAAATCGTAAATGATTTATTGGTTTAGGCATACTTCCGATTGAGATTTTACAAGACTAAAGGGCCTGGAGATTGTTGACGTTGCGCAAGCATAATATAAACAGAATAATTTGAATTTATTATGTAAATTTCATGTAAACCAATCAGACATATTGACAGTCAGTGATATAATATTTTTATGTTAAGACATTAAATACTAAAAAAAAGTTTAACTGACAGCTTTCGATATAGTTTACGTTTTACCTTTAATAAATGATATGAAATTTCGACGTTAGTCTTTTCACCACTTCATGTAGAAATTCCGCAGCAGGAATTGTGAATGTCGTAAATATGATTGTTTGATATGTTTTAGGAAATATGATGTGAAATTAAATAAATTCTGATTTTTATAACTAAGAAATTAATTGAACAGCAGCAACTCTCAGGCTTTTTGATATTGGCAATTGAAAATTCCTCTACATCAGATATAAATATTAAATAAAATAATAAACGAGGAATCTATACGAACATTACATTTCATAATATGTTTTAGGTGTTATATGCATACATTTGAGTAAGGTAATTTAATTCAGAATCATACAAAAGTTTCTATACGTATGTTTGTAGAGTATGGAGGGAACATCGAGATCGCGTGGTAGGTTTTCCAGGTCGTTTTCATGCTTGGGATCAAAATTATCACAATGCATGGAATTACAATTCCAATTATTCGTGTGAGCTGTCCATGGTTTTAACGGGAGCTGCCTTCATTCATAAACATTACACGTATTTGTATACGCATTGGCTGCCGCAAGCTATAAGAGACAAAGTAGATGAATACATGAACTGTGAAGATATTGCGATGAATTTTCTCATATCGCACATCACGCGGAAACCTCCTGTCAAGGTGAGTATATGTATGTGGGATGAAGTACGAATTAGCATTCGAAGTTTTTGCAAAGTCACAAAATAGCAAAATGTTTATTTTGACAATTTTTTCAAACTTTTAGGTGACGTCTCGTTGGACGTTCAGATGCCCTGGATGTCCCGTTTCATTGTCGGAGGATGATACACATTTTCAAGAACGGCATAAATGTATAAATTTCTTTTCTCAGGTATGTCTTTTTTTGTTAATGAATCCTCATATTTTATCTATTATTAACAAATCCCGTGTCGCGCCAACTTTACGCGGCTTAAACATTGACCCGGTTTGTGTTTCCGTTGATCCACGCTTCCGAACTTACTTAATAATAAACATTTCAAACGACTTAAACGAATAGTCCATTGTAGGTCACTGAGGTGACCCACATGGCACGGAACGTGTTAAGTAGTTTAAGAGTTCAAATTGAACAATTGGTACATAGAGACAATCAACGGCAGAGTTTTGTAATCTTATGGAGTTAATGATAGACAATCATCGATACCAATAGTTACTTGTAATTTTCAGGTATTTGGATATATGCCTCTGTTAAATACACAATATCGAGCAGACTCAATACTCTTTAAGACCAGGATACCACACGATAAGCAAAAGTGTTTCAAATTCATATAAGTAAGTCTTTCATATTTGTAATTACATTCATCTAATGGAATAATTTATACAGACGAAAAACGTTCTAAACAATGTTATTGAATCTCCAACAAGAAATACTAAATTTATCTAAACAATGATTCGGTCACTCCGAAAAAATAATACATAATTACTTTGGTTTAGAACTGTTTTTACGATTGTAGTGACTGATTCTACTACTCTACATAGTGAGGTACAAATATTTCATTCTATTTGCAAATTTTTAATTAAAATGTCGTTCGACTGATTCATATTTTATTTGAATACAATAAGCATTGGAGCTGTTACGCACAAAGTAGCAGATTATTAAAAAGAAAGTATAGTTGATAATGCGTGAGCTCAGGCGACATACAAAGCAAAAAGTCCTTATCATAAAATATTCACGTAAGTATCATTATTACAAAACTTGCACGGCTCAATTAGTCTTTTACTAAAATCTCGGTCAAGGAGTTTTTTTTAACTTTCATTAATACTTTTGTTTAACAGCAAAAACAATTGTTTCTAAATCCGATTGCGCAGGGGTCGACACTTTGTCGAAAGGCTTCTATTGAACTTTACAAGTTTAATGATAATGGTTTCTGTATAGAAATTTTACTTTAGGGACGCCCGTCTCGTGCAGCGACTTTGAACAATTTATCAACTACGTTTCTCTTTTAAAGTTTTTTTTTCTTTCTGTTAACTGATTGCCTAACATATTATTATGATTTGCACGTTAAACTATATTTTTATTATTTTTGGCGACCTGACATGTATCATTTTTGTTATTTTTCAATCATCGAACACTAGATCAATTTAATCACTTTCATTCTTGTATACGTACATGTTTTATTAAAAAATATCGTGTGATTAAAGTGCTTTTAGAATGGTCTGTTTTCTTTTTAGTTTTATAAAATTCAGATGATAACTGTAATAAACGTTTTCAGGCGAGGATGGCTGTTTGTTATTAATAAGCAGGTCGTTTTAAAATATAGCTCGGAACTATCCTCGCCTCGGAACGTTTAGTCCTATACACCAGGAATAATTAACTTTATGGGACCTCTTTCCTTGACAAACTAACAGCAGGACTATTTACAAATATTGTTATGTCGTTTTCGAGTCTATGCGAAATGTACTAATATAAAATTGATACGTGATTCGCCGGTAAGGACGCGTAGATATTTATACCCGAGAATTGCATTGGAAACGTCGGAAATATTTTTTCATTTATTCAGTAATGACTAACAAGTATTATCATGTTTATCTCTTGTTCTATTTATGATTATTTATTTTCGCAGCGTTAACGACAATCTATATTTACATTTACAACGCTAGAAATACTGATATCGTTAACGTTATGTGTAGTGTGCCAAACATCTCGATTTAAGTTTATTAATTGATTTTTCTTACAAACATCTCAATATTGATAATACAATTTCTAACGTTGACATATCATTTCATATAAATCCAATGCTATTGTACATAAATTAACATAATTTATGGATCTTTTCGACATTATTCGTTGAAATGTAATCACGAAATAAATATTGTAATGTATGTATAATTTGGTAATTATGTAGCATGTTAATCGTAACCATTGTGATTAATTAATTAACTCACGATACTTTAAATCACAAAATTTGTTAATCGTTTCGGTGTGCTGGCCTCGCGATGTGTTTGCCCTGACTATCTGCGAGATCTATGCGGTCGCGTACATTTACATGTGGAGCTTAGTATGTACGTTTTAAAATCGCGCAAACGTAAGCCTTCAGCACCTAAAGGGCAACCAAAAAATATAAATGTCACAGAGACAGTGGGATCATAAACAAGAATCGGTTCCTTGGCTCAAGTCGGTGAAAATGAATGAAATGAAAGTTAATCAGTTTCTTAAGAAACGTGAACACCTATTTCTTTTTCTAATTTTGTATGTTCATTATATAATATTATTATAATATAATTAAATTATTGAACTGTAAATGTCAAAGGTCAGATAGAACTGTGCAATTATATGTTAGGCATGTGTATAATTTGTATATAATTCGCAAGAAAAAGCATTGCAACAAAGAACTGTACACCACAGTAGCAACATTAAAACGTGCCAACTGTACGGCCCTGATGTACCTCTGCAATAGTGTTTCCTCGAGTGCCATTTTATGTTATATATCTATATTCTGTTATATATTTGTATTCGTAATCATGCTAGTTATTATCTATTAAGAATAACTGTCGAATTTGTAAAATACAATTGGAATAGAACTGATCAATAATATCATAAATTAAAAACACTGTATTTATATTATCGATTTTCAACATTATTATGGTGACGTAATTTTTATCCTTATTCCTCCTCATTCATTGTCATTATTTCTTTTATCATTAATGTTGATTTGCATTAGCTTAAAATTCAAAGATTTTACATATAGTTATATTTTTTAACCGTCCATTAGCCGCGTGGATTTTACTGACCAGTTTAAGCACGTGGTTTGCGAATGCACAATATTTCAATTTTGAAATAAAAAAGTTGATTTTGATTTTAATTTTAACCCATAACATACACATTCGCGGTTTGACAATCCAGTTCCACCGATGGAGGTCTTACAGCGTCGCCTTGTAATGTATGTTCCTAAAATCGGACCTAAGTGGTTGAATGGTTAAGGTATGGAATTAATATTGTATTTAGCCATATAAAAAGTACTTGGTTCAATTATGTAATATTTGGATGAGTTGGTTCAATTATGTGATTTTGGTGAGTTAAAGTTTCATGGGCATAGTCCGAATATGAAAATTCTCCTGTGTAAAGGAAGAAATGGTCTACGATTGTAAACCACGTGTCTATCCAAGGGTTAAGTATAAGGGGGTGACATATTTTAGCGAATCTTACTAGCAATAATTTATATCCCTGTGTAAAAAATCTATTTAAACAGATTATAAATAATTAGTACGAAGGAATCAGAAATGTGCATTGAACATTTTTGATCAAATCTTATAGATATTTACTACTGTGAATGAATGAGATTTCCATTGATTTTAATCAAAAATTTATTATTTATGTGATAATCACCAATGAAATTATATAGGTTACGATCACCTATTTATTTCGAATCATTTTTAATCGGAATACAAATGCCTTTGATTGCCTCGATTAAATCCGATCGTAATTGAATCGGTTTTTAATGATTTTAATCAGATTTTTCAAGCAAGGATAACTATAGTCGGTCCAAGAGTTCGATGTCTTTTTTTTTGGGAGAACGGAAACATTGAAATCTCTAACAAGGCACCATCTCTGCATAAAATCTGTTAAAAAGTATGCATACGCATGGTTTTGTACTAATATATTTTATTTTATAGAAAATCAGACGTGATTTGCTTAGGATGCATTGTTTGCGGACTTTCAATAACTCACATTGAATTCGTGGACGAACTATAGATATTATGATACTGAACGTTAAACTGAATTTGGAACTTCATTGCTAGTTTGTCTATAATCACATCTGAATAATTGTTATTTTAATAATACGCTTGATTTGGATGTAATCAATCAATCTTAAGAATATGAAAATGATCTGTCAAATACCATAGCTTTTACGGCGACCTTTTACGGCCTGTTTGTTGTAGTTTTTTTTTGGTACAGTGTGGATGCAACTGATTGATGAGATTTGGATCTATGCCAGATATTCTTTAATTTTGTTGTTACTCTAGTTTTTTTAAGTCTTTTTGTTAGTCTCCCATCGTATCAAAACAGTTCTTGGAATTACTCAGAGTTAATTGAAGCTAATCGTTTTAGATAATATGCATGCGTATCTTTACATTAGTTTTCTTTACCTATAGTTTATTGACTATACAGGAAATGATTTCTTTATGCTTTATATTTATTCTTAGACGTTACTAAAAATATGTGTTGGCTTCAGTGTGATTACAGACAACATTGTTACTGCTCTAATAATTTAAAAAATTTCTCAATCTCATAAAACGTTAGCATACGACGTTTAATGTCTTTGTAGAATGTTTATACTGCGTGAGAAGTCATGTGCCTGAACGAAATTATGTGTTGTACAGGAAGCTCCTTTTCAAGTAACTAACACGGATGATGCAATTTTCGTAGAGCAAATATTATATATTTAATACAGGTGGGTAAGAGGTGGGACAGAATAATATTTTATCTATCTAGTACGAGAGGTGAATCAGCTGAAAAACTCTTCCACTTTGTAGGGTCACAATTCAACAACAATGATGATGTCGATGAGCGTAGAAGTGGTGTTTTGCTTCCTCATAGAGGAACCTATGTAACGGTGGAAAATTTGTCTCCGTGCGTGCTTGTACGCGCGCGCGCGCGCGTTTGTGTGTGTGTGTGTGTGTGTGTGTGCGCGCGCGCGTGCGTGTGTGTGTGTGTGTGTGCGTGTGTGTGAAATATATAGCTCTATAATCCATTCATTGACTATATTTTCCCTCATGATTCATGCTGCGACTCAGATTTTATGTCGTTTTCAAATTTCCAAAAAAAGGACGTTGTCATTCTAGCGATTGCAAATTTTGATACTCGTCTAAATAGTTCTTGACAAACAGGTTTGTATTCAAGGTTGGTTGGTATTGCATTTAGGGCGAATCCATCGAGAAGTTTTGATTTTATGATATTTTGAATTTCTCGAAAAATCAACATTATCGCTGTAACTAGCGCTTACTTCAACGAATCAAACCGCAATTCTCGGCAAGTATGAAATTTCATCTAGCCGTAATACATATGAAAGTTGGCGAAGATCGGCCAACCGGATTTAATTTTATAGCAATTGGAAATTTCGCGGTTCGGTAGTAAATGAAGATTCATCTATGAGGAAGCCAAAGATTAAAAAAAAAATGAAAATGCTTCCTCATATACTTCGTACACTATCTACGATTCGGAGGAAGCAAATTGCAAGTTTCAATTTGCGGCTTGTTTTTTTCAATAGCCAGTTTGAAAGAAATGAAAAACCTCTTTTTTTTATCTGCAGGATAACGGTTTTTAGGGAGTGAAATCAACCCCTAAAGTCGGGCACTCGCAGCGTGATTTTCACTATTTCACAGATTTGCGGTTGAGATATTTAAATAAAACCAAATTGGAATTTATTGCTTATGGTGAATAACGAAAAACGCATTTTGTTCGGTTTTGATGGGTAAATTTCTAAAAATTTATAATGATTTAACGCAAAGAAGCATATACTTTTGCACGTAAAAAAATGATAATTTTCACAATATTGCACGTGCAAGATCCCGGAGCTGTAAGTTACCCAATACTGTAAAAATTTCAAATTGTTAACTAGCTTTGTACCTGAGTTATTTGGGTTACATTTAAAAAATATCACTTCGGGGAACTCATTCAAGTTTGATGAACATTTCTAGGTATGAAAATTAATACTGAAGTTTTCTATAAATTGCGTCTACTAGAAAATGCTATTTGAAGGGCGTTTTCATTTTGGTCGCTTTTGCGCAATATTGTGCTTCTATGTCGACCTGGGCCATGCGCGTTCGTACTTCTCGCACATTGCAACAGTCCTGGCTCCCATTATCACTTTGAAATTGTGTGACATTTGTAACCTATTAATAATACTGCTATCATTAAAAGTAACTGCAGATGTGCGTCTAGCTATTTCTACAATTTTACTTCTATTAAAGGACGTTCTTGGATCTATTTGTCATATTTTTTAATAAAAATGCCAGGGCATTATTAAAGTAAAATTTTATTTCGCTAAGTGCTTCTCACGCAGGTTTTAGATCATTTTGAAAATCGATAGGACAAATCGAGTCATGAAAGTACATTTTAAAATCTGGCTAAGATATGCATCTATATGCAAATGCCCGTTGTACATTGTTTAATACCGGTTTCATAATTTAACCAATTTTCTAATTTTATAAATCTCAAAACGTGTGATACATGATATCCTGTGGTGTTATGTCGCCCCCCACTCTCTCTCTTTCTCTTTTTCTCTGTCTCTATCTGTCTGTCTGTCTGTCTGTCTCTCTGTCTGTATATCTGTTTGTCTTTGTCTGTCTCTGTATGTTTGTTTCTGTATGTCTGTCTGTCTCTGTCTGTCCGTCTGCCCGTTTCTGCCTGTCTGTTTGTCTCTGTCTGTCCGTCTGTCTGTCCGTCTGTCCGTTTCTGTCTGTCTGTTTGTCTCTGTCTGTCTCTGTATGTTTGTCAGTCTCTGTCTGTTTGTCTGTCTCTGTCTGCCTGTCTCTCTGTCTCTCTATTATCTCTTTCTTATTCCTATTATTTATCTTGATCCTTCAGCTATCTGAATATTTGGGGCGCAAATTTTATGAATTGATCTCCAAGTACTAACGACCCTGTTAGCACATCACTCGAAATGCTGTCCTAAAGACGACGTCAAGCAGTCTTCAGACTGAATGTCATCTCAAAGTTGTCTTTAAGACGTCTTTTCGAATTTCTACTAACAGCGTGTTATAGTTTGGTTTTTAGGCAAACTATCCGTAGCGTGAAACCCAGGCCTCGGGATTCGGATTTCTTGTCGTTCTTGTTGAAGAAGATGGTCTTTCGTAAGGATATTGTTATCTATGAGTGTACCGAATATATGAGATGTGTTATTGCAAGTTATTGATAAAGAGTAATTTGTGTTGAAAGTGAACATAGCGTGTTTCGTTTCCCGAATATTATTATTGCCTCAGATGTGTAATTGGTCGTTAAGAAAATTGTAGATATATGAATCTTGTGACTCGCTGTCGTTTTCATGGGAGTCGTGTACATGTGCTTGTGTTACTACCGTATCGCAAATAAAGGAGTCATCACTGATATCGCTGAGACGTCCGTCGGCTATCTCCCTTTCTATTTCTGTGGAACTCATGGGTAGTAGGACTGTAATATTGTTATATGAATCCTGATGAGGTAAATTTGTTAGTAATATTTCAGATGTTGTAGATTCGTCCGTATGGCTATCATCGTCGTTATCATGACTATCCTCATTGCTGGTGATAATTTCAGTGTCTTTGCGCGCATCTGGTTCTTCAATGCTTTGTTGTGTATTATGATTGTTCTTTCGCGGATAGTATGTGATTCTTTTAACTCTTTTTCTGAAGTTGTATCTGGGTGTGTGGCCTGTATCTGAACTGAATTTTCTTTTATTTGGATTTTCATATTCCATGTATGGTCTTATTCTTTTTTGCTGTATGCTTTATGGGTTGTTGTTTTTTTTTCGTAATCTTGGTTTATTGCCCATATCGCTTGTCGTGTGTCTAATTCTTTGGATAGACATGACATAAAGTATTCTGGATAACGCATCCGCATTAGTGTTTGTCT